TGTTGTTATTATCATGATTGTGAAGAAAGATTGCGCTAATAGCATGTTATTGGTTTTCAAAGTGAAATCTTGAAGTGGCCTAGATTTTAGCCCATGTTGGAAATAAGTGCAACTTCTTTTCACAATTTATCAACTTAATTATCCGTTCCATTATGTCAGGGCTCCTACTCAATTCATGAAGGCAGCAACACTGCTCATAAGTTTAATGGCATCTCACATTCTCTCCATCTCACAGGTAGTGACTAAACTAAGTATTATGTTTTCCTAAGCTTCACTGTTGTAGATCGAGAAAATAAATTATGTCCTTAAAATTGATCTTTCCATTTCTGAGATACCCTCAATTTCAGTTGTAAAATAGCAACATGATTAACTTTATATGAAATGATGTAGGCTTTAGCTATGATTCTTAGATGCGTTTGTGTGGTGTGGTTCAAATAAAAAAGAGGACTTTCATAAAAATATTCCATAAGGAGTATGATTAAAGCAACATTATTCACTTTAATTTGGAGTGGTTTTAGCCACAAGAAGTATTTTTTATGAAAATTCTCCCTTGTCCATTAGTGCAAAGCATGTGAACTTTTATTTCGCTTGTATATGAACCACATTGATTATAATAACCTGTATTCAGAAATGAAAAGAAACTTATTAGATAAATTTCTCCATTGTTCTGTGCTGGTTATTTTATACTACCTTCACCCTCAAAATAACTTCTCACTTTCCTTATTTGGATGTCCCAAAATAAACTTCCTCTTTCCAGAAAAGCAACTTTTCCTTAGAAAATATCACAACAACCCTTACTTTATACTTACTTTTTATTTGATTTGACATAAAGTAAGGATATTCTTGAAAAGTCAACTACCCACTTTAACTTTCCACCAAAATGTGTTCAAGTCAAAGTGAGAAGTTGTTTCCGGAAGGGGAGGGAGTATATGTTTAACTTTGTTAATCAAGGCAGGAAAACTGTGAGACATTCTCAAGGCGCCTTTGTGACCAAATGGGCCAGCTTCAAATCTATTATGGTGCACATGACGAGTTTGACGATTATTGTATGACTGGAGGAGACCCAATCCTGTGAGAGGTCAAATAAGTTTCGGAGAAATTATTACAATTCACCTTTTGTTCACTCTCGGAGATGTCATTACAGAAATGGATTTAGCTACGTAAAACCGGACAATTGATGTTATAGTGACCGGATAGCCAGAGTACCGGTTTAACTACTTAGATATAAGTAGTGAAATTAAAGGATACTCAATCACATAAATGTAATCCAAAAAAATAAACTTACAAACTAGCTCACATAGTAGAAGAATTATTAAGCATTTACCTCTGCAAAAATGAACTCAATTCCACTGATCAAATTAACTTGTTGAATGAGAAAAACAGGTGTAACTGGTAGAGATTTATCAGATTCCTCTGGTATTTCCTAGAACATACTCCCTCCGTCCCAATTTACTTAGTCAAACTTGTTTTTTCAAGTCAATGGTACCTAACTTTGACTGATTATATATCTATATAGAAAAAATATTAATAATATAAAAATTATATGAAAATGTTCTTTGTTGAAAATACTATTATAAAAGTATAAAATTATTAATTTTTTCATAAATATATTAGTTAAAATAATTGGTCAAAGTGTACCACCTTTGACCGGAAATGTCAAGATTGGCTAACTAAATTGGGACGGATGTAGTATTTGTGAACATGCCAATAAGCTTGGAATAGACTACTTCTGGCCATGAATTTCTACTGCTACCTTCTACGAGTGTGCCTTAACCACCTGTGAGACAGTAATAGTAGACATATGATGAAATAGAAAAAATGGGAAATCCTCTTCTAGCTGCATGAGAGTAGATAATAATGGATGAATTGATATTTTCTATATGGACTAGTAAATATTACCAAAGTACAATGAGTACTGATGCATTCTATAACCGGGACAAAGACAATACATTGAAGCTGAAGTCGTGCAACAAAAATATAGCATACTTATATATTGAAACGAGCAAGAAAGTTTGGAAGATTCCCTCATTAAGTTCATTCAACTATAGCTAAACTAGCTCCTTTAAAAAAAGATTTAATATTTTAGGGAGTATATTTCATTACTGTTTATCCCTCTACGGATTTTCATCTTCTAAATCTTCAAACTCTTCCTCTACACTTATTTAAAGTATATTTCTTTAAAGCTAATTACATAACTCAAATATATTAGGGAGTATGGTCTTACTTTTTACATTCCTTTAATGGTCAATATCTTAATAATCTATTATAAAAAATTAAATTATGTGTTGTACTTGGGGTAGGCGAGATATGATTAAATCCCTTTGACAGTTTGATCATGGCTGTATTTTCCTTTTAGTATTTCCAAAAAAAAGGATGACACCCCATCGCGACCGGACGGCACGATGGGAGGATGTAAATTGGATTATAATCACAATCTGACAGATAGAGAGTTGGGCTCTGTCCCCGATACTTGCAGAAGCCCTATTAGTATTCCTTTTAGTATTTCAGATTTATAAAGAAGTTGATAGGCAATGAATTCAGGGGCGTATTCAGTGGTGGGCCGGGGTCAGGGCCGTAGGGGCAGCTGTCCGCCTGTCCCTCTCAATTGCAACTGCTTCTCCTTGGGATGGGTTCAGTTCTTTCTGTTCGGTTTTGACCTAAAACCAAATACGGAACCAAAGTAAAAGTTTGGTTCGATTTCGGTTCGATTTTACACTCCAAAACTTGGAACCACGGTTTGATTGGTTCGATTTGTTTCGGTTTGGTTTCGGCTTTTTTCGGGTTTTTACTAAAAATTTGTCATTTGATTTAAAATTGATATAAAAGTTGGAGGGATCAAACATATTACATAAAAATGCAAGCATACTTGAACAAATAAAGAAAATAATAATGAACAAATATGTCTTGAATTATATGAGTATGCGGGAGAGATAAAAGTGTGTATTTATTCTTAATTTACAATGTTTGTGACTAGTTTGAAAAACGTTTATGAATATATACATACGTCCTATGTGATATAGTTGAGATGAATATTTATTTGTTTTATCAATATAAAAAATTTAAGTTACAAAAAAAATTAAGTTACATAAAAATAAAAGTTAATTACTGCTAATAACCAGTAAAAACATATAAGCATGCAACAAATTGCAACATACATACATAAAAGACATAATTAATCAATATAGCTACATTATTATATATGGGCAATGAATGTGTAAATGCATTTATAAACTAAAATAAACTAAACATAGCACAAACATTATTTCTCTAGCACAAGAAATTCAAATATTATTGATGATATTAAGATTAATGCTTACATTTAACAAATAAAATTTCGTATTTTATTTTTGTTCGGTTTGTCCGGTTCGGTTCGGTTTTGAAGTGTAAAAACCAAAACCGAACCAAACTACTACGGTTCGGTTTGGTTTTTTACATTCGGTTTCGGTTTTTAGTGGTTCAGTTTTATTTGATCGCGATTCGGTTTAATTTGATTCGGTTTTCGGTTTTCGGTCTTTCAAGCCAAACCCTAGCTTCTCCTTAAAAAGAAGCACTTTAGGGGTGATTTGGAAAAAGTGATTAGTAGTAAAAGTTGATAGTGTTTACGAAAAAGGTGATTTTGAAAAGTAAAAGTTGGTAGTGTCTAATAAAATAAGTGTTTTTTGTGTAATAGAAAAGGAAAAAACACTCTTCACACGCAAGTCGAGAAAAGTAAAAATTGGTAGTCTTTGATAAATAAGTGCTCTTTTAATCCAAAAGTTTTTTAAACCGTTGAAAACCAACCCTAATACGTTGATATTTAAAATCATAATTTACATTTTGCTTGTTGCTGCATAACGATGATATTTTGTTGATATATTATTTGTTATCACATAATTTTTTTTATTGAAAAAGTGTATATTAATATTAATTATACGGTAGTATTTTAACAAACATGATATAGCAGAAATGTTTAACTTTAGAGCATAAGTATCTTTGTCAAAAAAAAAAGAATAAGTTATTTACTATCAAGAAAATGTTAACTATTTCGTTTACAAATAAAATTTTAACTTACACAAATAAACTATTGTGTTTAATTAATTTAGAAAATGTTTAAATTGATATACATTTACTCTCTAATTCATTGCTTTGAAGTGCATTTGTTTCTTCTCTCTTTTTAAATTATGTTTTTGTATTGTGTTAGTATTAATTATAGTTTGGTGTAGTTTATTTTCTTGTTTTTGTTTTCCAATTACTATTTGTTTAATCAACAAAACTATTTTGGCAAAAATCGAAAAAACCGAAACCGAATCGAGCAAACCGTGATTCCAAATTTTTGAATATAAAACCGAACCAATCCAACCAAACTTTTTACTTTGGTTTGGCATTTGGTTTTAGGTGAAAATTGAACCGTTTGAACCGAACTTGTAAAGTCGTGGCAGGTATAGTGCCTGAATGTCATATATTTGAAAATAGTGGATGGTTGTCTTTAGTTTTTTTTGGTCAAGATTCTCTCTTTAGGATGTTTTTACTTGGACTGTAATTTGCCCCAGACCAGACCAGACCAGACCAGTCCAGACCAGACCAGACCAGTTTAGACCAGACCAGACCAGACCAGACTTGGATAGTTATAAAAATACAAAGAAACCAGACCTTACCAGACCAGACCAGACCAGTTCAGACCAGACCAGACCAGACCAGACCAGACCAGCAAATTACAGTCCAAGTAAAAACATCCTTAGTTTAATGAAATATAAAATAGAAACCAACTTTTCCTGAAATTTAATGGACCCGACATATACGGATATACCACAATTTTAGAAAGGGATAATTCCTTAAATGGAGTAAATAGAAACTAAATTGTCCAAATAAAAGTGAATGCTAAAACCCCTCTAAATAGGAAATATTATTTGTAATTGCACAAAAATAATTCTAGAGCTTAACCACCCTTACTGCCCCAAGACATCTGCCGCCGATTGTAGGACCCAGGATGCCACGAGCTGGTTGTTGTTGTCACCATCATACACTGCCCTTGGTGGCTTGGTGTGTTGAGGAACTAGGGGGTCAATTAATTAAGTTAGAAAGGTATATTTGGAAAAATAGTTTTATTTGGGGAATAAAAATATATCCACTACTATTTTGGAATTCTTGCAACAATTTATTTACTCGGATTTAGGGTCATTTGAGTCTTTTAAATACTTTGATAAATTATGAATCACGGAGCTATTAAAAAACTATTGTTTGTTTGAAATAGTGGATCGATGGACATCATGACTTCATCTTTCTCTCTTTAATGAAATATTAAAACAAATCAACTTTCCGAAAGTCTAATGGATCCAACGTCTACCACAACTTTAAAAACAATGTTTCATTTCATTCAATACTTGAATACATCCATCATCTTGGATATAGTCAAACTTTAATGGCCTCCAAAATCTTTTTCTGCTTGCTCTTGATCATATTCTTGGGGGTTCAAGCATCTCAAGTTTCATGTGGATCCATCATCCACGATTCTAATTTTTCTATGCAAGCTCTACATCAGGAATGGATGACCCTTCACAAGAAGAATTACACGCATCCCAATGAACACAATCATCGTTTTAAAATATTCGAAGAAAACGTGAACTACATCAACACGTTCAATGCCAAACCCAACAAGAGTTACAAGCTTGGGATCAACAAATTCACAGACCTAACCAACGACGAGTTCCATAAGATCTATGCAAGTGGTTACAAGATGGTGGACAAGCCTAGAGGGTTGGATACCTTAGACCCAAACGATCAAAAGCGATTTACGGTTCAAGATTCGAGTGAGACAAATGATTATTGCGACTGGGAAAAAGAAGGTGCAGTAACTCCAGTCAAGGATCAAGGACAGTGTGGTACGTAAATACGGTAAAATACATTAATTTCCATATGTTTTTTATGAAAAATTCTCACTTCAATTACTCGATATTATTCGCCAACACGCATACACTAAGCTAGAGGTGTTCTCAAGAAAAACCTACCCTAGAAATGAAATGAGCAAATCCGATTCGCTATTCGATTACAGTGATGAATAATTATGTGGGTTCCGTGATCTTTAAGTGTCCCTCTTTTGGTTTCATCCATTCCTCTGTGCTCAAACAGCTTTGTTAGTTTATTCGCGTATAATTTACGTATAATATACTCAAACGTATAATTCGCGTATAATATTCCCGTTTATGAATTTTTCAGAAAATACTGAAAAAATCATGTACTTTAAGAATAAAATGTATAATACACGTATCATACATATTGATACGTATTTTTTAAAAAACACCATTAAACTGAAGCTTAATTGAGTGTTACAACTGAAGCGAAATGTCTAGCTGCTCAATACTATTTATATTGCTTAAAAAAATATTATGTCTTATGCATATTTGTTAATTGTTTAATAGTCATCAGATTTAATAAATTAGTTTCTGACCGGGCTAAACTTGTAAGTGTACAAGCGCCGATATAGTAATAAATTCCGGTAAAATACGGGGTCGAATTCACAGGGAAACTTTGTTTAATTTAGTCTGAGAGTAGATGACTTTGAATAAATAAATGAGTAAAGTGCATGGATTTTTATTTGTGTTTTATATTTTTGGCTTTTCACTTTTAATTCAAAAGAATAACTTTGAATTTTATCCCTAGCCTTAGCTAAGGATTTAGCTCCTTCAGCTCATACTAATTACAAAAGTGTAACTAAGATAAAGGAAATACAATAACATACAAGAAATAATACCTAGAACCAATTGTAGCGGAGAAAAATGGCTTCTTCTCCAACTCTTCGAGAAAATACAAAAGTAAAATATAAAAACTGAATTTTTAGCTCCAAAGATGGAATGATGATCTTGTTTGATGAATTGGAGGCTTTATATAGGCTAAAGATTGACATCTTTTAGTCTATTCGAGCCCAAAAATCAGGCATGGAAGCAATATTTGATCAACAATGAGGAAGATGAAGTTTTCCCATCAAGAATAAGCTTGCACGTCTCTATGTTTTGTGCAAAATCCGACCCACCCCGGCGCCGCTTTCAGGCCTACCCGGCACCGGTTCTTCGTTGTGCGCAGGAAAAATTGGAAATTTTGACATACCCGGCGCCGGTTATAAGGCCTACCCTGCGCCGGGTAGGCTATTGGTTTGTGCCATGCAAAAATTAACAAACCGGCACGGGTTTGGTGCAAATTTCGGTGCCGGTTTTGTCCTGGGATTTTGGGATGTTCTGCTACGAATTTGGACATGGTTCCTTCACCAAAGTTGTAGATAATGAAATCTTCTATCCACCAAAACTTGAATGAAGTGATTTTATTCATCTAATCAAAATATATGGATAAAACACTGAGAGGTATGCATCCTGAAATCCCACCAACAACATCTGACTTTATTGGTTGATTGAGTCTTGTTCCTTTCATATTTTGGCCATGACGTCTTCATAACATTTGTACCTTATTGAGTTAACATTCACATGAAATTTGAATCGAGTGATTTCGAGTTCTCTACAATAAGTTATACTCAAATTATGGACAAAACGTCATCCTCTTGGTCCCAACAGCCGTTCATCACAACGTTTTATGCTTTAGCTCTTATTCTGAAGGTATTTGTCCGATTTCCCTTCTTTTCTTCAACAAATACTTATAAATACTTATGTTAAACAAAAGTAAATATAATGACTATCAGCTTCTTAAAGTCTTAATTCATTTCGATAACACCAATGTACTACTATTCTGTTACTCTTGTTCTCCACACATACCAAGACTACAAAGAGTAAAGAATATTACGACGGCTCACTAAATTTATGGCCATAGTAATATAAAGTATTCTCTAGAAATATTTCTCTACTTCTACACAAATAGGCAATATTATTTTTATTCTTTATTATACCTGTGAATTCAAATTCGTATATCTGAAAAACGAGTAAAGGGTCAGTTTGGTCCTCGAAGTTGCAAAAAAGGGGTCAAATAAGTCCTTATAAAGAAGATTCTGTCCGGACGTGCCATTTGAGGTGGCTCCCGGTGGTTTTTTTTGATAAATATTTTTGAGCATCTTATTCATTAAATCTAGTTTACTCATACCAAATTTATGCTAAAAATTCAATCGGGAAGACATTCAAATAAATTCTTGAAGATAACTGCACTTATAACGGCACAGTTATCTTCAAGAAATCATTTGAATGTCTTCCCGATTGAATTTTTATCTGAAATTTGGTATGAATGAACTAGACTTAATGAATAAGATGGTCAAAAAATTTCATCAAACAATTCCACCGGAAACCACCTAAAATGGCACGTCCGGACAGAATCTTCTTTATAAGGACTTATTTGACCCCCTTTTTTGCAACTTCGAGGACCAAACTGACCCTTATCCCTCTGAAAAACTATTCCGTACATTATAAACTGTTAAAGAATGTGAGGCATATACGAAGTACTAAATTACTCTTTATTCTCATCATTAAATTAGAATGTTTTACGTGGATTGTTTTCAGTCCCAGACCAGACCAGACTTAAATAGACTAGACCAAACCGGATTCAAACAGACCAGACCAGACCAGACTTCCGTAGTTATAAAATACACAGAGACCAAACATTTACAGGACCAAACTTAAACAGACAAGACCATCAAATTACAGTCCAAGTAAAAACATCCTTAGTATTTAAGACATGTATTATATGTCGCATTATATTTTTGAATTGTGAAGCGCTTAATCTAAGAATCTAAATTTTCTATTTATTCCATTTTAGTATTTCAAATTTCTAAAAATTTAAAAATGTGAATAGCTTGAAATGACGATAAAAAAATAGTTTACCAAAATGTTTATCAAAAGTCCACACTTTTTCTACCTACCAAAATAGTTGGGATTATTATTACCATTTTGAAATACTTTTTCTACATTTTTACAATTTCCATTATATCATTTAAAAATATAAATACAAAACCTCCAAAACATATACCCCAAATCACTAAAATTAAATGATAAGCTATATACAATAATTTATAGAATATAATAATATAAATAAAGAAAATAGAGAGAAATTAAACTAGAAATACTAAAATCGAAATATTAAACATTTAGGTTTTTAGAATTAAGATAGCATTAAAAAATACGTGTAAATAAATTTTAATCATTATTTACTTTTTAAAAATACAAAATGTAATTTTGAATAAAAGAAAATAATACAAAATCATTAATTGGTAGCACAGCTGGGAAAAAAACAAATTGGAAAAGGGAAAAAAATTAGTGAAAATAAATTGAAAATTGACTATAAATGGTTTATTTAACTTCGGTACATTAGTATAATTTTTGTAGTTGTTTAAACATATTTAAAAGGGAAAACTGTCAAATCCACCCTCGAAGTTTACTCGAAAAATCAATTAAGCCCTCCAACTAAAGAAACAGTCAATTGGGTCCTTTAACTTTATAAAAATGATCAAATTTATAATTAACCGGTCAGCTGTCAGTTAAACGGTGACCCCGCTGACATGGCGGTCCAATTCTCAAATTTTGCCTTTTTCTTTTCTCTTTGTTTTATTTTCCCTCTGTCCCACCTTTTCTTTCCTCCGGCCAACCTCCTCCCGTTTCCCTCTACCTATTTTGGTTCTACCTGTATTCTTCCCAGTGCATCCATCTAGACCTTCTTCCCCCTTGTTTCTTCTTCCACCCCAATATATCCATCATTTTCGTTCTTCTTCCAGTCTATTTGTGAAATATGAGACTAGATTGCAATGCAAGTTTGCCCCCACTTGCTATATTTCCTGGATACGCCACTCGGGAGGGGTGAGGTGGGCTGAAGAAGAAGAGAACATAAAGAGAAGGTGGGGCGGACTAAAGAAGAAGAAGGGAGGGAGGGTGGGCTGAAGAAGATGAAGGAAGACTAAAGGGTGGGTGGAGACTGGGGTGAGTTTGGCTGAGGAAGGAGAAGAAAGAATGGCGGAGTGGAGGAGACGGGGAGGGCTGAACACAATGAACGGGGATGGGTTTGTTGTCGGAAGAAAGAACCGGGGGAAAAGAGGAAAAAAAGGTAAGGAAGAAAGAAAAGAGAGAAAATAAAGGAAAAACATAAAAAAAATGCCAGCTAGACTACCACATCAGCAGTGTCATCTGCTAACTTGGAACCAACCGGTTATATTACAAATTTGAGCATTTTTGTATAGTTCATGGACTTTAATTGGATATTCCTTTAGTTTGAGGGTCTAATTGACTTTTGTAGTATACTTCGATGGTCTATTTGACAGTTTTACCTATTTAAAAATATTTAGAGTTGATAGTTGGGATTAATAAAAAAGGATCAACTACAATTGAGATTATTTATAGATTACACATAGTTCACATTTAAAACTGACCTGCTATATATACCAGGTTGTAACCGGTTAGGGACTGTTTTTGGAAAATAATCCCTATAGTTGGGACCACCTAGGAGTAATCAATAGTTGAAATTATTAACGATAGATCGATAATAGTTGAGATTATTATTTTCAATTTTTTCTTAAAACAATTGTAACAATCCAAAGTGTCTATGTTATACAAATATTATACAAAAATGAGCAATTTAAGTAAGGAATACAGAAAAACAATTATAACCAAATAAAATGTCAAGGTTATTGGTTATACATAATATATTACAAAATGCTCATGCATAAATAGAGAAGTTAGTAGTTAGTGGAAAGATTACAATTAATGTGTTGTTATCATAACCTACGAAATACGGAGTATTACAAATTTTTTATGTAAGGAGTATAAAATGTCAAATAAAAATTAAATGTTAAAATTACTTTTTATACTCCTGAAAATCATTTAACATTTACAAATACATGAATGACGCCAATTATTATCTAAACAAATAATAAAAGAACGAGTAACCTCACAATAATGTAGTCTAGTATAAAATTTCTGCTACTCCAACGAAAAACTAAAAATTACAAGTAAAAGACTCGCCGTCACTAGTCACCACTCAGAATGAGGCGGTGGCTAATGAGAAGGGCGAGTAGTTAAAGATTTAGAAGAACTAGCTAGGCTGAAACTGTCTTGCCAACCATGAATAATTAAAAGTCATCACGCGATCGGTTACACCTAAGAGGAAGACACAACTTCTAGATGTTACTAGTAGAAGAACAAATTTCACTCTCACCTGAAGCGGACATAACTCTCGACCAAATAATAAGCTGGACGAACAGAAAAATCCTAAAAGGTAGAAATAAAAAAGAGAACAGTTGAAAACCTTTGATTCATTGCAGCCCATAGAACGTCATCATTGTTGAAAACTCTTGCCAATCGGAGATCGTCTAAGGGGGCTTTCTGACTAGGTTTTTCCCTAGTAATAAGCTAACTGTGTTGAACTGTTGTCTGTGTCAATGATTTGAAAAATACCATTGAGGAAGAGCTAGTAAAGGGAAGGAGGATAAATCTTCTTTATCACACCGTAAGACCCCAAAGATATATTAGAAGCTACCAATTTAGAACACAAGTTAAAGTCATCCATTTAGGACCAAGTTAAAAGATTGAAATATATCAATCTTTGACTTCTTAAATTACATATATTGTTTTACAAGAATATTCAAAAACTCGTTATTTGTCAAAAAAAAAAAAATCTCGTTATTAGCTCAGATCTTGGCACTTGGCAGGGATCACTTCAAAATATTTCAAGGCCAACGGTTTGGCTCGGATTTGGAATTCGCGCCACTACAATCAAGCCAAATGTGTTTGCTCGGATTTTCCGGTTCACGCCAAACTTTGGAAAAGAACTTGACTCGGATTTTACTAGGAAATATATATGAGCCCAAAATAACGTGGCTTTGGCTCGGATTTTCTTCATCCGAACGTCGCACGGAACATTCCAAGCCAACTTAACCGAATTGTGGCTGCATATTCAAAATGTTGGATCAGAAATATCTGTGCCAATACAACATCTTTAAAATTTATGATTTAAATACATTGATAAAACATCTATATTAGACATACCCGAGTTTCAATCAACCGAGGAGGAGGATCACCAGACTTTGATACAGAGACTTTATCATACACATCAATTTTTAATGGTGGATGATTCGAAGTTTGAGTCTATTAATACAAAATATTTTGTCAAAAACTAGAAATGCTAAACAATTCAAAATAATAATATTAATTATAATAATCATTTAATACCAATTTTTCAACACAGGCAGTCACCCAAATACTTCCACTCCGATATTGAGATTCCTTGGATGCAAAATACTCTTTTAAATCAGTCCAACAACCTACTGGAATCCATTTTGGCTTTTTGTCTTCTCATCTAGGCCGGCCTAATTAAGTTTTTGTTCTACCATTCAGAAGCCCGAGAATCAAAACGCTTATTGATAATGTTTTTGAAGTGGCCTAAATGGGTATCCACACTCACATACGTACTATCCTCCGTTCTATGATTCTTGCAACAGTTTGACTTTCACGTTTGTCAATGCACAACTTTGACTGTAATTATATTTAATTATGTATTAGTAAACATTATAAAAAGTTGATGTTTTGGAAATTCACATTGATATGAGTTCAATAACATTTTATACGTAATAATTTGATTATGTATATTTGTATAAAATCATGGTCAAAGTAAGATATGTGAATAGTGTAAAAATCACAATGTTGCAAGAATTATAGAACGGAGGAAGTAGATAACATATACATGGGGGTGGATGAGGTACAAATATTGTGGAAATATTTGCACGATGCATCTTTACGCTATTTGTATCAAATATTAATGTTCAAAGTGTTGCATATCATTCTTCAATGAAATAAGCAGTTGCATATTAACGTTCAAAGTATTGCGTCCCAAAAAGTTTGGTTTTATTACCAAAACGCCACCGCGCGTCTCTAGCATTTAGATCAACTCATTTGATGACCAAGATGAGTTTTTAGTTTGTAAATTAGGAGGTGCTTGTATCTGATCATACACGTTATGGGTGTATGGTATAACTAGTTAATTTTTCTCCAGTTATAATTGAATTGAATTGCTTGGTTAAAATTTAATTACATAGGTTAGGAAGTACGTTACTAGCTAGCTAATGGATGGATGGATGCAGGTTCTTGCTGGGCATTCTCAGTAGTGGCAGCTGTGGAGACCCTGTTATGGCTAAATATCAACCATAGGAACGTAAGTCTCTCTGAACAAGTGATCCTCAACTGCGGTGTTGTCCCTTCAAGCAACGGCTGTGGCGGAAATGATTTCAGTGTCGCATACGATGTCGTCAAAAAGCTTGGAACCACAAGCGATGAGTTCTTCCCCTACATCGCCCCAAATAAGGGCGCCTACGAAATGGACACAGTAGCCAAGGTCGGGTACAAGATTGGAGATTACACACAACTCGAGGGACCGGACGGAACGCCTCCTGCAGAGAGCGCTGTTTTGGAGGTGGTGCGGAAGCAGCCGGTTTCTGTGTCAATCAACGCCGATGCCCTCCAAAGCTACGAAGGTGGAATCTTCGACGACAAGACTTGCAGCGCCGATACGAACCACGCAGTGGCAATAGTCGGGTTCGGTACGAGCGAAGACGGGATAAAATATTGGAAGGTCAAGAATTCATGGGGTAAAAATTGGGGTGAGGATGGGTTTTTCAGGATTCAAAGGGACCAACGCATTTGTGGAATTGCTACCGAGGCCTACTATCCAAACGGTCCCATATGACATACTACCTTCATCCTATTTGATTTGAAAAATATACTTTTTCTATCAAACAGTTTCATTGTATTCACTTAATTAGGATGTCAAATTTTAATCATCATATTCTAATTTGGAGTCTACAAATTTGAAGAGATTTTCATGTAAGTTCTGAATATGTAAATTTTAATTGTTAAAATTGAATTAATCATTGACTTTAACATTGGCTAAAGAGGAGGGCGAGTAGTTAAAGATTTAGAAGAACTAGCCCGAAACCGTCTTGCCAACCATGAATAATGGAAAGATGCGCTTGGATCCAAACTTGTCATACATAAATTGATTTGATCACGTAATACTCCCAAGTTGGAGTATGGAGATCCCGAATACCCAACTTGCTACGTAGAAATTGAAAACGGTCTGTACTCAAAGCCTTAGTAAAAATGTCAGCAATCTGGTGTTCTGTAGATATGGGTTGAGGCTCAATTTCGCGACTAGTAACGCGCTCATGGACAAAATAACAGTCCATCTCAACGTGTTCAGTGCGCTCATGATACACCAGATTTAGAGCTATGCGTTTTGGTTCGAGTTCAAGTGTGGGGGAGTAAATTGGGCATTCAGGCAGTAGTTGTAACATGTGTTTATTACACTTAGCATGCGCAGGTGTTAATTGTATATTTATAGAAAAGTCATGTCAACCAATTATATATTAGAGTTAGCATGCGCAGGTGTTAGCATGCGCACGCGTGACCCTGTTCCCTTCATCGTTAATTAGAGAGAAATCAATCTTTTATTTTTATCGCTCATTCACATTAGTTTAATTTCAAATCAACCAATCTCGCACATCGCATTTATTTCATTTATTTTCTTTTTAATCTCTGAATTTAGTTAATCTTTATTTCCCTTTTGTCCGTCCCTGTGGAGACGATACTTGTACTTACAACCACTTTTCTACAACCTTTTTAGTGCGAGAAAACCCACATCAAATATTATGTTATTGGGAAATTCTTTTGAACTAAATGTTATTTAAACTCTTTTAAACTCTTTTGAATTAAATGTTATTGGGAAATTCTTGCTACACTTGCTATAATTAGCATCTATTTTGGGTATTAATTTGGGGTGTTACATATATATACTACGTACTTCGTATTATATTTGTGGAGTTTGCTTCGTGTACACACCGGGTTACACACTGGCTTACACACCCAGGTGTAATTGTCTGTGCACAGAAAATTAAGCTTGGGTTTAGTAAGGGAAAGTGTCCGTGATGTCGAATTGTCTGTGCACAGATAATTCATTTTTGGAGTCACAAACATTTCGTTTTACTAAAACCCCGGCGTAATTGTCTTTGCACAGACAATTACACTTCGGTGTGTAAGCAGTGTATAACTCAGTGGGTACATGAAGCAAACTCCACAAATACGCCTCGGTCTTTCAGCATGGAGCAGCCATTATCAGGAGTCACCCTCTCACCGCAAATTTCATCCGCGTGGATGAACATGCCGCCGCCTCCGCTGGGCTCATACCGACTCTTCAATATGCTTGAACCTTTTTGCTGGACTCCTACTACTCCCACGTCGGTTTTTCCTACTTCAGCCGCATCCTTACCAGGACCTGTACCTCCAGCTTCTATTCCCTTCTCTGGCCCGACCTTTCTGCGACAACCAGGGACCTCACAGCATGACATCGGCTCCTCCTATCGTCCACCGGGCTCAGTTACGGTAACATCCACTCAGTTGTCCTCCCTTGCATCTCAATTAACTTTTTCAACTCCTAATGTTACCAATATTGTTACCACTCGGTTGGACAAAGTAGAAGATTATTTATCCTGACGGACACAGTTTGAGTCATTTTTAGTTTCACATGGTCTTTTGGGTATCCTTGATGGTTCCATTGTTGCTCTTGTATCCTCCAGTCCTGATTATAGTTCATGGCTAAAAATTGATCAGACAGTTCGATCATGGTTGTTTGCGACCATCTCCCGTAATATTTTAATTGAAGTTCACACTGTCCGTTTTTCTGCCTTAATATGGGAACGGTTGGAAACACGCTTTATGGACGCATATGTAGCTAGAAGCATAGAACTTAGGAGGCTTTTATCTGCCTTTAAGAAGAAGGATGATCAGTCCATGGATGATTACTTACGTGAAGTAATAGTTCTAACCGATTCACTTTATATTATTAACTCACCTGTAAGTAATCGAGAGCTCGTTCAGTCCATGATTCAAGGCCTTGGACCTGAGTATGAATCAGTCATTACCTCTATTACTCTTTTCCCGGATAGCTTCACCTTTGATTCCCTTCGTCTGCAACTGATGGCGCTAGAACAACGCGCATTGTATCTCCGTTCTCGAGTTGCTGCTCCAGGACATCAGGCTTTCGCAGCCTATGATCAGGCTGTTGTTCGACCCCCAAGGCCGAGGGGGTGGTCAAGCACGCGGCAATGGAGGCCGGGGCTATAGAGGTGGTGGCTGAGTACGTGGACACCGGGGACGTGGCCGCGGATACGGCGTTCAGCAGCAGGGAGGTGCTTCGGTGTATGCTCCGCCGACTGGACAGTTTGCATGGCAGCAAGGTGGACCGGCAGCTGCTCCGTACCAGGTTCGTGGGCATGTTCCGGCTGGATTCCCAGGTACGGCAAATGGTAATATTAACGATGTTTATTCTAGTATTAAGGCTTTATCATCTTGTGGTACTCACCCATTTTTTTCAGGATTTCCATCTAATGAGAACCATTATCAGTCTCCTCCTCCACCAGTTGAATATCAGATTTGCTTTTCCCCAGGTCACTGTGCTCTTGCTTGTTCTCGGATTGCTCATACTACTCCAGCTTTAGCAGCTCTCCCTATAGGTGAAAATAATGCTTCTGTGTGGTATCCAAATTCTGGAGCCTCAGCTCATATGACCCCGAATGAAGGTATTTTATCTAGTAAATCTCCTTACACTGGCTCATTTTCTGTTCAAGTTGCAAATGGTAAAAAAATCTCCCCGTTTCACACATTGGCAATGTCACCTTAACTACTGCTACACGCCCGTTATTATTAAAATCAGTCTATCATGTTCCGCACATTAAATATAATTTGTTATCTATTCAGCGCTTGTGTGTGGATAATGATTGTTCTGTTATTTTTAATAACATCGAACGGGAGCCACAATCCTCCAAGCTTCCAATAAAGAATCTGTCTATCCCTTTAGAGCAGCTTATGCATGACGAGCACTTTGTCACGGTGCGTCAAAATAAATTCAATACTAGCACTAATACGTAATATAGTGAAGTAGAGTTCGTATCCACAGGGAAAAGAATAATTCTCTTTTTATGAACTAGTAAATAAAAGGGGGGTTTTGGTATTGTTGGAATTTAATTAATTAAATACTAAGATGAAGGACTTATATGAGATTTAATTCAAAGATAAAAAGGACTTGGCATTGCTACTTTCCACTTGTTGATATATTTTAGTCGATCATTGTTATATCTATAACTTATCCCCTCGCGAATACTCAATCGAGGAGTATATCCAATTCATCGAGGGTAGTTATTAACAATGACCGTTCATTAATAACCATTACTATTAGTCAAGTATAGAACACCGCCATATACCGACTTGATAGTAGCATTTAATCTCTTAACTCCTTGATGAAATCAATTGAGATTGATAACCTCAACACAACGGTTTCGGTTTAACCAACAAAATTAATCCCTCTTAAGTTTATTAACCACGACCGTGCATTAATAAACCGAAGTTACTTACTTGTGAAACCATCAACGATTAACCATCGGTTTGTTGAACGTTTCTAGTAGTAATTAATGTTGAGATGTTAACTAATTGTCATCTTAGCAACACTCCCCAACATTAACATAGAGATAGATTAAGGGAAGAATTAATATTCAAGGAAAAAAATTAAATATGAATAATCCTATTATAACTAATGTCAAGATGTTATCTAATTGTCATCTTAGTAACACTCCCCAACATTAATATATAGACGAAAAAAATAAATACTACTATAACTAATGTCGAGATGTTAACTAATTGTCATCTTAGCAACACTCCCCAACATTAATATATAGATAGATTAAGAGAATAATTAATATTCAAGGGAAGAAGTTAAGAAAATAACTCACAACTTTAATAAAATAACAAGCTTCAAGAGCAACACCAAGAAATGGAAGTTTAGCTCCTCATTTGGAGACTAAACATGCTATAAAAATATAAAATAAATACTATTCTAAACTGAGCTTAAGAGTATGGAAGAAGGGGTGCTTTTATTGTGAAGGAAAAGTGGTGTATTTATAGGTGTTTGGAGGTTGCAGGGTTGTGTACCCGATCGGGTATATAGGGTACCCGATCGGGTATTTTAGGCAGTTTTCCGGAAAATCACTTTTCTAGACATACCCGGTCGGGTATGAGCCAAAAAGTCAAAATCCTGCACGTTCTTTTGTCTCTCCAGATTCTGATTTTGACACCCGAATCAACTCAATACCCGATCGGGTATTGCCTATACCCGACTGGGTATATGAAATATTTTTTCAATCTTCTTTTTATCTTGTCCCCTTGCACTTTCCTTGATCTTTTGGGGTCCAAACTTGATCCTTTGGATGATCTTGACCTGTTTTAAACTCAGAATAATCCTAATCTAAACAAATTAGATCTATCTAAGAAAATTAACTAATTACACCAAAAGTGTGTAATTTTCCAAACAACAACAAATAAAACTAGTTAAAATAGAAATAATACTGATGGAGTATTAATTCTAGAGAGAAGTGAGAGCTAGAGAGAGAGAGTGAGTAATTATATTTCTCAATTAGGAACCCCCTATAACTAGCCCCTTGGGGTCTATTTATAGGTAAAAAAGATGGGTTTGGGCCCCTAGCCTTGGGCTTAGGAGGCCCATTACAATAATCATGCCTTCTTTGGGCAAATAAGGCCACTAATGGGCTGAGTACAACACTTAGTACATAAAATAGGAAAATACATTCTGTCCGGGCGAAGTTCGGACGATGCGGTCCATGGACGACGCGGTCCATGGACGATGCGGTCCATGTACGATGCGGTCCATGGACGATGCGCTCCATGGACGATGTCATCCAAATAACTCAGGCGACATCTTCTTTCTTGGACGGTACGTGCCTCTGGCCGATGCGGGTATCCCCGCTGGTGTCTTTTGGGCCATTGAGTATGTGGGCTATGGGGTCCAGGCCCATATACTCTA